TACCATGGGTGCAGCAGGCGCAATGATATTACGCAATGCCTGAAAATAGTCCCCAGCACGCTCCCTGTGCAAGCAGATGGTCACGTTGGTTATGTTGACGGAAGTTAGCCTATTTTCAGGTGCTGCGTAATATCATTGCGCCTGCTGCACCCATGGTATGGCAGCAAATGGATTCGAAAACGGTAAAACTCATCTGTTTAACTCTAGGGGAGTTGGAAAATGAGCCTATTTTCAAAAATAGTGGAGTGTTCCTTTAACACTAACAAAACTGTTTTGAAGATCCAGATCTATTGGAGTACTATCTCATTGTTATTCATTATTCATGATAGGGTTTGAGGTTTTCTGGAGTGAATGAGACAGAGTACCGCGTTTATCTTCTCGGGAACCCTGTAAGTGTCTCTGACTTTATGTCCTCTGCTTCCTAAGATCTCTTGTCATATCATTACTGAAGATCACATTTAATCCTCAGGTCATCTGGTGGCTGAACCTCTTGAGTCTTGCTCTGTTTCTTTTAATGCTGACAGTTGCATCTTTAGCAAAACAGAGAGGAGTGAAGATGGAGGGAATGAGGAAAGGTAAGCAGCACTACATATTGTGCAGTACTTAAAAAGAGCCAATCAGAACAAGTCTAAAACAGCTGATGTTGTCTTTTAGTGCACTGTCACACTCTCATGGAGGGTGGTGGAATGCTGCTTTTGGGTTGGCTATTACACTACCTCCCGTTCTACATCATGGGTCGCATACTCTACTACCACCATTACTTTCCTGCCATGTTGTTCAGCAGTATGCTCACAGGTACGACGGCAAACCAGATAACCAAAGTCACTGCCTACTCTAATATATTCTTATCAAACTGTTTTTCTATGGACTGGAAGTTAATTAATTAGCCTTTCATACATTTTCCAGTGCATTTGTCCAATAGGTTATGCTGCAGTCAGAATTTTAATGACAATAGCGTTAAAGGGGTGGTTCACTGGGTCTTTTCTAGGCTTGATTGTGTTTATGGGGTGCAGTCTAACATGTGTTAATGCTTCGTTTTTAAAGAAACATTATTTTTCACATAATTTACCTTTATTCCACACCGCTCTGTCCCTTCTCCTCTAAACACGCTGATCATTTCCTGCTTTTATGAAGCCCCGCCCTCAGAAATAGGCGATGGGCTCTGATTGGTTAGTTAGCCCAGTGTGTTGTGATTGGCTAAACCAATCAATTTAGACGTGCATTAGTAAATTGGACGTCTAATCGTCCAGCCCTTCACCTCAGCGGCATGTGCTCCGGTTGTTTTGTAAGTGCTCCTGTGGCTCAGTGGTAGAGCTTTGCGTTAGCAGCGCAAAAGGTCGGGGGTTCGATTCCCAGGGAACACACATTCTGGTAAAAAAGGTATAGCCTGAATGCACTGTAAGTCGCTTTGGATAAAAGTGTCTGCTAAATGCATAAATAATAATATCGCTCATCAGTTTGAGCCTGATTGAGAAGCAGAGGATATTATTGAAGAGGATCGCGCAGAACCTGTGCAAGCACGGCTTTTAATGGTAGGCCTATGTTTTTTGTTTGTTGTTGTCTCATACTCTTAGATATGCTGTTATTTGTAAATGCTACTGCTTATGTTAGCTTTTAATATACGGTTTTATCCTGATTAAAGCTTTAATACAGTACGGCAACTGCACACGCGTCCATGTTTAACGCTTCTCATAGCTATGTGAAAATAAGTGTATAATTGGAATAGTTCATTGTTGGAGCTGAGCTGAATGAGAGAGAGAGAGATGCAGAGTGTGTGCAGAGCAGGGGGACGCGAGGAACTGTATTAAGAACTGCTGCTTTAGAACATTTATTTTTAAACTTGTGAATCCATTAGAATCGTTAGAAGGCAGAATCGCGATTCATATATGAATAGATTTTTACATGCACCACTAGTTTTCGCCCCCTTTGTTGCGTGTTCCAGAGGGCGGGGTTTATCAGGGTTTGTGATGTCACGAACCCAGGAAGTAACTTGTTGTAGTCCCCACCAGCCGTTTTTGTAGGCATTAAACTATTTTAATTTAATTTTAGTAGACGATATCTCCGTTTGCATTGAACTTTCAGCTTCGTAACTTTGCAGATATTGTTTATGCTCAAACAGCAACATTACACACTAAATAACGTTTAAAAAAGTGAAATCGCAATGAACCACCCCTTTAAAGGAATAGTTCACTCAAAAATGAACATTTGCTGAAAATGCATTCACCCTCAGGCCATCCAAGATGTAGTTTTGGAGAAACTTATGCTGACATTACATCATTTGCTCACCAGTAGATCCTCTTCAGTGAATGGGTACAGTCAGAACCCAGAGTCCAAAAAGCTGATAAAAACATTATTGGTTTAGAACTGTTCTGGACTGTTTTCGCTTGCTTGATCTGTGCATATTTCTTTCCTGATATAGACAAAATGACTTTTTAAGTAGTAAAAAAGCAATGTTATGGATAGAGGGCTCTATATTTTAGCCGGGAGCAATAGTTTGCAGTTAGAAACATCCTAATGAATTTTTTTCTTATAAATGCACAGCTTTTTGCTTCACAAGACATTAATTGATGGACTGGAGTCATGTGGATTACTGGTAGATTGTTGTGATGTTTTATCGGCTGTTTGAACTCAAATTCTGAGCATCCATTCACTGTAGAAGATCCATTGGTGAACAAGTGATGTAATGCTAAATTTCTCCAAATCTGTTCCAATAAAAAACAAACTCATCTACAAATGTCAAATTTTGTAGCATTAATAAGCCTATTAAGATACAACTTTTTTTTAATTAACGCATTTAATTCTAACATTTAATTACCTTCTTTATTTAAGGTATTACTCTGGACATCTTCCTCCAGAATTTACACCTTCTCTTTAGTTCATCCATATCCCATTATCTTGTGAGGGGAGGTCAATTTATACTCCTGTTAGGGTTCATCTACAGGTAAGACTCTACAATATTTAAATGTAGTTGTTTTCGGGCTCACAACACTTTTATGCTTTTATTATTTTTAACTCTTTACAAGATTTCCTATTGGAAATCATTAATTATATCTAATGCTGAAATTGTGCATTTTGTACAAATGTTCTATGTTTGTTTAGGTTACAAATTCAGTCCATTTCTAATATTGATCTCACACTTGAATTTCAATTTTCAATTTCTGCTTGTTTCAGCTTTTATCTCTTCCATCCTCTCTCCTATGGCATGAGGGGGCCGCTGGCACATGACCCTGCCTCCTCCATGGCTGGCCTCAGGTGGATGGAATCCTGGGAATTTTAGACCATTTTAGACAGTTTTGAAGTGCCCGGGACTTCATTAAATGTTTTTAACTATTTCACTTGTTACATGTTGACTGGCTAATTTCATTGTGGAAGTACAGCCTTTACTCTGCTGTGATGGAATTTTTTTAAATAGTATTTTAAAGTTAGTGTTTTACAGTCATGTATTTTACATTAAAGTTTGATGGTGTTTTAACTGCTGTAGCTGGACTGAACTAAATTGATAGAAGTAATAAAGTGCCTTTCAGGTTTCAGATATTCACTCCTTCAGTTGTGTTTTGTACATTTCATTTGTTACATATTTAGTTTTTTCCTATGAGACAAAATGTTTGAATTAGTGTATGCAAAAACAGCAACCTTTGAAATACAATGTTATCACATTGTTATATTTCTCATCTACACAAGTTGCGTTTTTGATCAATTAAATAGCCATTTCTGGGTCATACCAAAGAATTTCATTTGGATTCATGTTTGGATGCTGGATTTACAAAATAATTAACTGTGTCCCTTCGTAATTGTGTTACTGGAATTGTTGCCTTAAATGCAGATTGATGACTGACTGAAATGAATCCATTTAAAAATTGCTGGTATTTGGATTTTATTTGTGTTGCATTTGAGAGCATCCCATTTTCTAAGTCATTTTACTGAAAAGGTAACATACTTTTCATAAACCACCATCATGCTAAGAGGAAAATTGTTATTCGTTTAGGGCTGTATATTTTTACCCAACTAGTAGCCTATCACTGAAGCATAACGTTTTCTTGCAAAACTAATCTTTTCTCACAGGGTTTCTATAATCTCCACTTATTAAGAAATCTGCTTTTTTTTCTAGCCAATGTCTTTAAGCAACTTTATCTGTGTTGATATCTGGGTGATTTCTCCCACCATCTCAACTAGCTTTTCAATGTCTGGTCCTTTCTCTGACAGTCTCTAAATTTGTCACGTTATATTAATACACTGTAATGTTGCATAAATGGTCTATCTGTAATAATTCACTTTCACTGTATTAATTTATAGCTAATATTTTTAACAAGTTATTCTTTTGTATTTTCTTAAATATAGCCTATTTAACTCAGACTATTTCAATATTATGATCAGTTTTATTAAATTAACATCCTGTTAAAAATGAAGTTGCTTCTCAAGGGAGCTGAAAGTCTTAAGTTAATGTTGCGACATCTCGCACAACGCGAGAGGGCGGGGCTACAGGTATTCACGGCCTTCAGCTATTGGCTGCTTCGAATCACGTGTGTTGTTGTCAAGATGGCGTCTCCGAATGGAGGTAAATTTTAATTCCTCTTTTCCCTGGGAACGTTAGTTATTGTATTAGTGCAACGGACCGATTAACCCTTATAAACTATTATACTAGTCAACATATATATTCTTAAATAATTTACGTATTCAGTTTCAAAAAAGTATTTTTTCCCCCTCGAAATAGCGTCATAAAATTGTTTGGAGTCATTAGCAAGCTACGTTCGGCATCAGTTACTATATTAAATATTATACGAATGTATTGATGGAGCGGTTATGCGGAAAAGGTTACTTTTTGTATCTTGCTTCTATTTTTAAATGTGTATTTTTGTTTATTTTTAACAAGCATTGCTATCAATGCAGCTAGCTCAGCTGCATCACAACAATACAAACATAACATAACCTCCCCCTCTAATGTGTCTTGTCATAACATTACTTGTACACTCAATATTATGTCCCGCATAACATGGGGAATATTGCTCCGAAAGTCACAGCATTTAAAGTCATCCACATTATAATTGCACTTACATATGTGGTCTAATTGTAAGTAATGCTTGATTTAAAAAAAAAAAAAATTATAATAAATTATTTCTGATCTAATTTCTAAACCAGTGTTGTAATAAAGAGCATATATCATTTGTTATTTATTTATATAGGTGAGGACTTTGAATCCTCTCTGCTAAGTTTTGAAAAACTTGACCGAGCTTCACCAGACCTGTGGCCGGAGCAGTGTAAGTTTGAGTGTCTTAATATTTTTGATTTGAACTAAAACAGTATTTTATAGGATGTAACATTCACAGATGTTTCTACATATGACCCAAAGTTACATTTGTTGAAATAATCATTTTTATTTTGGCCTGTCATGTGTTTTTCTAATGTAGCTTTGAATGTTGTTTTGAAAGTCCCATGTACTTCTTTAACATTTTAACAGTGCCGGGTGTCTCTGAATTTGCTGCATCCTTCAAAAATGTGAGCTAAGAATCAGAATTATACATTTAAAATAAATTATTTAGAAAGTTTTGCATTCAGACACGAAATTGAGACTTCTGTTTGTTGTTCCAGCCTATCACAAATTCTCCGCCCAAGTGGATGGCTGAGCTGGAGTCAGAAGATATTGAAATGCTGAAAGGTCTGTTGCCTTTTTCATAAAACCAAAACAAATTATATTAAGCTTCTCGAAGCATAATTTTTGCATTTTTATGTCATGGACCTATCTGACAGATGCTCAGTTCAATTAAAGAGCTTAATATGGCTCGATAAATTGCAACATTAATTTTAAAAAGCTGTGGTGTTTTTTGTATGGTGTGGTCATTTTTTAAATTAAGTTATTTGTAGTGGCACTACAAATATTGATGATCTTATGTTTGTTGTTATTGTGTGTTATTGTTTTTAATTAGAATTAGGAAGTTTGACCACAGCAAATCTGATGGAGAAGGTGAAGGGACTGCAGAATCTGGCTTATCAGTTGGGTTTGGAGGAATGTAAGTAATCTTAGTTTCTTGGAAACATTTAGTTCATCTGTGCAGTGTTTAAGAAGTGGTTTGAAGACTTTGTAAAGCCTCCTCTAGATGGCGATATCAGCAAAGAAGAAAAACAGTAAGAAAAACGCAAGAGCTGCTGTTAGCTTTATGATAGAGGTTCTTTAAATCATATAAATTATTATAAATAATCTAGCCCCTAAATCCATTTGAAACATACTAGAAAAATGACTTATCTCTCTCTCTCTCTCTCTATATATATATATATATATACAGTGGGTACGGAAAGTATTCAGACCCCCTTAAATTTTTCACTCTTTGTTATATTGCAGCCATTTGCTATAATCATTTAGCAAAGGGTCTGAATATTTAGGACCATGTGATATTTCAGTTTTTTTTTTTTAATAAATCTGCAAAAATGTCAACAATTCTGTGTTTTTCTGTCAATATGGGGTGCTGTGTGTACATTAATGAGGAAAAAAAATTAACTTAAATGATTTTAGCAAATGGCTGCAATATAACAAAGAGTGAAAAATTTAAGGGGGTCTGAATACTTTCCGTACCCACTGTATCTCTATATGAAGAGTTCAGATGCAAAAGCCTCCAAGTAGGTCTGACATTTTTCTTTAAAATTAGCATTTCTTTCTGGCTACTATGTATAGGTTTCTATGTAAGTACTGGTACTTCTGAGTGGGTTGAGGCTGGGATTTAGCGCATTTGAAGTGAAAGTACTTGATGAACATAGTACTCAGTATCGTTATCTCATTTTTGACCAAGATGGCTTTTAGAGGCTTTTGCATTGGAACTCTTATATATTTATTTATTTATTATTTTTTTAAATTCTATTTAAGTCTTAAATAAATCCCCACTCTCTATTTAAACAGAACTGGCTTTTTGCCCAGTAGTTCTGAAATGTTATGTCACAGGATTGCTAGATGTAGTATTAATCCATACTGGCAGAATTACAGAAAAGATAAGTGTAAAAGATTTTCTAGATGAAAATGGGCATTAAATGGACAAATATTGCGCAATTTGAAAGTAATGCAGACCATGTCTGAACACTTGTTTCAATTATATCACATTTCTTCTGACATGTTCAAAATCATCCCTCAACAAAATTCCTTTCAATGAGAAACATAGGGGGAAATCTCACACTCAAAACCATATGTTTGCTTGAATTGACCGTATTATTTTGAACAACTTTATTTATTCTGAACATGTATAAATTAAATCTTACTGACCTGAAATATTCATCCATACATTATTCTATTACATTTGAGTAAAGTTGATATTTTTAATATGAAATTTCATGTTTCTATATTCACCATTTAATATTTAAAACATCTGGATGTCTGTACAGTATAAGTGCCAGCTCTCTAGGGTAAATATGCCACTTTTAGGTACAGCGCTCCCATGTTGATTTTGCTATGTAAAACTGGCATTTTTTTACAAATAGAAAGGCATAACCTGAGTCTGTTCTGCCTGCGTGTAATAAGTCAACCTAGATGTCTCCACCCTCCTGTTATTTTGTCCTCTGCTTGTTCATGATGTAGCTTCTTCACTTCTGTAGGAATGCAACATGCTCCAAGACATTTATTCTTTTTAACAGGCGTAAGAAAATTAATTTCCAATGCTGAAAGCAGGTTCTCTCCATCTAATATATAACCTGTGCACTAATCCTGCACAATTAATCGAATTCCTAATCGCGATTACAATTACGGATGCCACAATTACATAATCGTTCAAAGCAGCGATTAATTGTTCAAAGTCTGCTTATGTTATTCTGCATGCTTAAGATTTCTACAGGTTATCTTAAGGGTTTTTCCATTGTTTTAATTGTAGGTTTAGTTTAAAGGGGTCATATGATGCTGCTAAAAATAACATTATTTTGTGTATTTGGTGTAATGAAATGTGTTTATGCGGTTTAAGGTTAAAAAAACACATTATTTTCCACATACTGTACATTATTTTTTCTCCTCTATGCGCCGCCTTTCTGAAACGAGTCGATTTTTACAAAGCTCATCGCTCTGAAAAGCGAGGTGTGCTGTGATTGGCCAGCTATCCAGTGCTTTGTGATTGGCCGAATACCTCAAGCGTGAGACGGAAATGTTACGCCCCTCACATACTGTTGATGCCCTGTCCGGCCGGAGCGATGATCCAAAAACATGAAAACCCATTATAAACGAGGCATTCGTTGCATCCAGAGGGGACATAATTATGGATTATAATGACTTATACTGTCTTTTTACTTTGCATCGCAGTGCAAAGTTGTTGTATTTCTTTAGCAACCAGCACGGATCAGTTCCAGGCATAACAAAGCAGATATCGTCCTCTTTTGGAAGACCAAACAAAGTTTCGCTTTCACAATGAAACACAGCGCCTTCACAACATGGTGGAGGCAACAACAATACTACAGCCAGAATAAAAGTTACGCCTTCTTTCTTTGCGTGAACATTTGGGCGGTGTTATGCAAATCTTCCCACATCGTGACGTAGACATGTGGGGGCATGTTAGAACGAGCCGTTTTAGGTAGGTGTGGCTGACTCTTAATTTTTATAAAGAATATCTCTTTGGATTTGAGACTTTAGTCTTTGCAACTTTACAGATCTTCTTTATGCACCAAGAGCTTGCAACACTTCAAAGAGAAAGGAAAAATTAAAATCGCATCATATGACCCCTTTAACATTATAGTACCATTCAAATTTGTACTTTTTTAATTTAAAGAAGAAACCAATCCCATGTGGTTGACATTTGAGGCTTAATACTATAGAAAAGCAATAAAAGTTTTTTTAGTTAGTGTTTTCAGCTTATTTATTTTCAAATAAAAATATACCATGCAGTTGCTTCAAACATAATGGTATAGCCTAAACATCATTCAATGTAAATTGCGATAATCGTAATTAATAATGGCAATTACAATTTCAAGGGAATAATCGACAATTATGATTTTTGTCATAATCGTGCAGCCCTATTTTGCACCACAAAACTGTAATTTAGTGTGAGTTTGGTTTCACATTTGTTTCTTATATATCTTTGGCTATACCCACCCACTGGTTACCTTAGTCTCTGGTCAGACTTGGTGCTGTAGTGTGGAAAATATACTGGTGAAGTGATGAGAGGCCGCCTTGTGAGTTCACTGCTGATTTGTAAAATCTCCATCAAGAGCGCATGATTAAAGTAGGCTCGTTCAACCAAGATTATGCCACTCTATGCCATTGAGCGAAACAATAGTTAGAAATAGTCAGCTTCATGAACTTCACAAGTTTTGCGTAAAACCAAATGATCATGTTCTCAAACATAATTTGAGAATGATCCAAAGAGCATCTTGTGCTTTATTGGAAACAAGAACATCTGAATGTCAGTAGGTGTTCACATGATTAATGTATTTAGATTAGTAACCTAGAGAGTTCAAAATCTGAAATATGTCATATTCATTTTATCTGTTCAAAAGTTAAGATTTTACAAAAATGTATATTTCAAATAATTATATATATATATATAT